GCTTTTACCACTAGGGTGACCTATTTGTCCAGGACCACGGGGCTGTTCACAACATGGGCACTTCAGGGTTGAACCCAGGGCGATCCTGGGCAAGCCAGAACCACTGGCTGTCACCCTACATTCTGCCCACAGTCTTCTATTGTTTTTCTTCCTCTTCAGTCAGTGAGAGAACCCAGATCAACCTATTTGGTTCACACTCATGACCGAGTAGAACTCCTGTAGGGCATCTGTTTCCTCTAGTCATCCACAATGAACAGAGACGTAAGGAACAATAAGACAATCACTCAACTCCTATCTTTTGTCAGAATGGGGGCTCTTTTAAAAATGTCCAGAATATACCGGCTTCAATGACTCCAACAAATATAGGAATGAATCTAAATCTTGATGCCACATTCCATGTCTCGTTAACAAAAAATCAGAAGGGCCAGACAGCCCCTCACAGAGCCAATTCTATTCCTTCCAGCTCAGCTGCAGGAGTTTCTGAGGATGAGGAAATGGGCCACACGCAAGCAAGGGGTGGGAGCTGGCAAGATCTCTGCGCCCTCCCCGCAAGCTATCTGCTGGACCCAAGCTCTAGGAAGAAAAGCTATGTGAAAAGACTTCTGGCTTCACCAAGACACATTAAAGAATTAATTATAAAGTAAAGCTGAAGGAGAAAATTAATTTTAGAAACACAAGAGGTTACATTCTTTTTTTTTCCTGGAGATGGGGGAGGAAACACAGTTATTTTCGTTTTCATCCTGGGGGCACAAGCTGGGAGCTGTCCAGTCGATAACCTGGCCATCAGAACAAGGTTTGTAATTAAAAGGTCAGTGACCTGGAAAGCCAGGGCCCCACTCCCAGAGCTTCTCAGTAATGACGGAGCTATTAAATTAAGACTGTTATGAAATCAATGCTAAAAAAGCTTTCATGGTAACGAGATTCCATTCAAGGACATGCAAACTACCTCATGAAATGGACGTAAATGATTAAAAAAAAAAAAAAAAAAGAAAAGTAATAAAAGAGAGTTAAATTGAAATCTGTGTAAGAATTTACTCCCCGCTGAAATACTCTACAGAGAAGCCCTTCACCTCTAGCCCACTACCAAGGTTGGGACCATCAAGTTTCTTCAAGTTCATTTCCAGCAAGGAGGTGGTTTTGCTACCGGGGTTTCTGCTTCCAGGAACAGTAGAAGGATAAGATCTAGTTTCACCTTTTAGAATGAGAAAGTACGGTGGTGTGTTTTATTTTCTCACCCCAACCAGGACCATTTATTGCATAAGGGAGGAAAAAGCCCTTTACTTAGACACTTGAGAAGGACACAGTGTGAGTGTGAGCCAACACCACCCAGGCCCCACCATGCAGGGTTACACAGAAAAATATATGATGTTTGTCTTTCTTAGAAGCTTGCTTTGCAACAGATACGTCAGAATAAGTTAACAGACAACTCTATCTCCCTCCCCCACCTCGCCCCCCTCACAAACAAGCATCACTATTACCCACCTCATCCTCAGCCTGCCAAACATGTTTGGAAGCAGACTGCCTCCTACATTTTGTGGTTGGATAGGGTGTCAAATCAACATAAGCCTATTGACGACAATTTCCAAGCCTCTAACTTTCTGGACCGATTGTATTGCTGTTTTTACGTTACTATAACCTCCTGGATTGCAGCCTGCTTAAAGCCCCAGATATGATGCCTGCCTGGCAAGAATTGCTTCTATATATAGACTGGTTCTATGAGGGCTTAAACCCCACACACAGCTCAATTATCTTCATGTGTGGCTGATTCTGCAGTTGATGTGTCATCTGCACAATCAAGTGGTTGGAAGGAAAACAAAAACATTTATTCTAATACTCCAAAGGTGAGCAGCTGCTTTTCTCTTTCATCCAAAATATTCCTGATAAAAGGAAGAAATGCTGTAAATTACACAAAATGGCAGTACAAACTTCAAAAGAAAGTGATAAATGATTCTAATAACTTCATGTTTCTCATTAATGGCCCCATGTTCAGACTTTAAAGCATCTGAAAGAGATCTCAAAACAAAACAAACAAAAAACAAATGGGAAAGACCTTTGCAAACCAATGCTCTTCCATCCCTATCCCACCCATTCCCCACCCGCCCTCACTGAGCGCCCCCACCAGAAGTCAGAGAGCACAACACTTAACCCAGTGGTAACACAGACAGGATGCAGCCCTGCTCCAGGCTGCGGTTTCACAATGAAACAAACTCAGCTGATGCACCTAAAGTAACCCTCATTTTCCACTGAACTGACATGCACTACAGGGACCTCAATTTCTATATTAAATATTAAATAATATTAAAAGAAAAACAAAATTGGATTTGCCTTTTCAGGAAAGAGATGTTTATTAAAAAAAAGAAAGTCAAGATTATAATTCAAGTCAGTGCTTCACTGCAATTCCCTGAAGTGACATTGCTAGGAAAAGCCAAGACTCCAGGAGCTGAGAGCCCTCCCAGAGCCGGTACTCCAAGCCCAGCGCTGCAAGGCTCCTGCAGGGAGGCCAAGAGCACGAGTGCCAGAACCCAGGTCCCTCCTGCTCCCAGTGGCCAGCGAGCCAACTTGATTTCCTTCCACCAATACTGTTGGGACCGGGTAGATGCTCACCCTCATCCCCATCAGAGATGGTACCAGGCTGACCTGACCCTGGAACAGCCTGAAATTTTAAAAGTGAAGTTTAAATCTGCAAAGGGGCTTTTCTTCCCCAGACACCAATCAAACCTTGGAATTCTCTGCCCAGGAAAGGTCCTGCCAGAACCTACCCCATTGGGATTCAACTCGGAAATGGATAATTACTGACTGAAGTAGCATTCTAGAGGATAATGGAGATGGGTGATTAACCTCGGAGATCCTGGGTTTAAGTACAGGGTAAACTCATGTGGTTCTCTTTAGAGGACGAAGGGCAAGGATAGCCTCTCAAGATGCCAGATGCCTAAAATTCTAAAAACTCTAACCCAAATTAGGGGTCATGAAGGAATTATGTCCACTGTACCAACGGTCATCTTCAGGTCCCTGCTCACATGCCATCCTCTCAGAGACACTCTGACATTCATGTTGTTTAAGATCGAAGTCCAGCTCACACCAACCCTGGCGTTCCTCACCCTGGCTCCCTGCTTCATTCATTCCTCTCTATGGCGCTTGCCATCTGACAACCTACCGACTTCATTTTCCCATTTGCTAATTGCCTTCCCTCCACTAGAATTTAAGCTCTGCGAAGGCAGGGATTTTGTCTCTTCAGTTCTCTGCTAAATCCCCGATGGGGGTGGGGGGACAGGGCACAGGGTGTACAATGGTTCTTGGATGAACTAATCAGTTGGACTTTTTTCCTAAAGGAGCAACAAATATTAATTGCAAAAAACAGTTTTCTCTCTACAGTAGTTATTAGCCAAGTAACTCAAAAGAAGTATTATTTGGTCCAGAGTTTCTCTCTCTCTCCCTTTTTTTTTTTTTTCTCCCTCTCCCAGTCAGGGATTTATTAAAATTAAACAGATTAGATGGAGCTCCTGATACTAAAACTGCTCAGCAAAGCCTGCGGTGGGGAAGTGCCGAGCAAACACCAGAGACATTTGTCTCTAAATTGCTCTAAATACCTTCTGCAAATGAAATTCTAACCCAGCTGCGTTTGAGAGAAAATGAGGACTAACTGGTCATTGTCGGTGGAAGAGAAGATCAGGCAGTTATAATATTGCACAATATACTGGAGCTAAGGATCTCTCGGCAACCATAGATTTTGTCTCAGGTTACCCCGGGTAATCAGCTCAGCTTTTAGGCTCAGCTTTCCCCAGCTTCAGTGCTTTGATGAGAGAGCTGAAATCCCTAAGCTTTTATGATTAATTACTCCCCATAGGTACACATATTTCAAGGAAAAACTCTTTTATGACATGATGCTTGCGGAGTGGCGAGGCCAGCCAACACACTCCAAATTTTAATAATCTCCTAATGATGGGGGGGCCGGCACGATGCAGCCAGCCAGCAGGCACACAGTGCTCCTCACCAACTCTGTCACAGGGACCTCACAGGGACCCAGCCTTGGGGCTGCCGCGAAGCAGCTGCCTGTGGTGAAATGTTTGGGCTTCTTCTGCCCAAACCCTGTGAGTGCGTGGCCCAGGGACATGATCATGTGAAGGGACCAATGGTTCCTGCTGCATCCCTTCAGTGGGACATCACGGAACAGAGCTAGGAAATGCCACCCACCCATTCCAGCCAAAAACAACTGAAAGCTGAAAACCCTTTCGAGGCTGGCATTCCAGCTTCTTAAGGAAAAAGAGTTTTGCTTTGGGAGGAAGAAAGCTCACTTTTGCCCCTCATGGTATATAAGGACCTTTAAGTAACTTCCTAGATTTCTAGAAAATTAAATGTACAAAAAGTGAAAAGTCAGGTTTCTTTTTTGTTTTCATTTTACAAAAAAGAATAATACCCTAAATTCCAACAGAACCAGAATAGATTCTGTCTCTTCAGACAACACTGAATTTTTCAGGGTCCATTTCGTCCCTGCTTACAGAAACACCATAAAACCACTAATCTAGCACTTCACTCTGTAAATCAGACTGACCCCAAGCTTGCCTTTAACGTGACCTTGTTTAGTCATCTCGTTTTCCTCATCCTTCATTTCTTTCTTCCTCATTCTCTGTTGAAGCAGCTGAACTCCTAACCTAAGCTAGTCATCCTGCAGCCAGGGTCACTGACACAGAGCAGGCCAAAAAGCAGAAGCCCTCCACAGTCTCATCCAATGGGCCGATTCTGCTACTGAATGCTGCCTTTGCATGACGGACTGGACTGAGTCCTCTGTGCTTAATTACCCGAATCATGTCATCTCGCTGCTCCATTGTCAGGAAAGAAACCTATGTTTCTCATTGGGAGTGCTCGCCTCAGCCCCACTGCCCCATGAGTGGGCAGCTCTAGGAGGTCCTGGCAGCTCAGCACCTGCCTTGCACTGTGGCTTCCATCTGCCCCAGCCCCAGTCCCTCTGCAGGCCATGCTGCACAGCCCTGGGGAACCTGTACCTTTCTTCTTAAGGAATGCTCTCCTGGTTGCAAGTGGGCTCTGGCGGACCCGGGAATTCTGAAGAAACTTCACTGCCGTGGCAATCTGATAAGAGAGAGAAAACAGAGAAGTAAACTTCACTTCAATAGTCTGAATTTCAAGATTAAAAATCCTAGGAGTTTTTCCTAGCTCTACAGAGGCAAGCATACTACTGTGGTCAAATTTATAACCAGTTATTTCTTAAGCTTAAAATCTACCTAAATGAAAGGCGATGTTGTTTCCCTGTCTTCACTGGCTTCCTGAATCTGAGTCTGTCAAATCTAATCCCTCTGCCGAGCTTCAGGCCTGCGATGATCCTTCCTGTTCCTCCTGATCTCCATTCGAGCTGATTCCTCACACTCCCCAGCAGGGGACATGCACACCCATGTTGCCACCCTTGCGCCCTGTATGCTCTCTTTCTGGAAGGCCTCCCTTTCCTGCCTCCACCTGTCTAAACATTACCCAACATGCACATGTACACACACACACACACACACACGCACACACACGCTCTCTATCAGCACAGCCCTTTAATAGTCTATTCTGACTCCTCAAACCTTGCCTAAATAAGCAGGCCATCTCTGATCTCCCTATTCTCTTAAATTCTTCAATGCCTGTAGTGTGTACCATGTAATTGAAGACAGCATTACACCGTCTTCTAATATTCAGGCTGCCTCCCCAATGACACTGCAAGCAACTGCAAGGGAGAGGCCACGCTGTCTACAGAAGCTGGCAAAGTGCTGAGGGCATCCCGGCTGGAAGGGATTATGTCGAAGACAACACCCACTGCCATTCACACTGGCCCCACTTCTGCACTGGAGCTGAGTTCTGAAGAGCCTTCAAAGGGTAAAGTTTAGAGTTTCATGGCTAAAAGCTGACAGATTGACAGATTGTCTACCTGCCTCTGGTAATGAATATTATTTAATGAAATCTTCCTATCTACAAATAAGTCAGGCAGGGGATGGAAGGGGCGCTGCTGCAGGTATTAACCTTCACATCACTCAGCGCAGGCAAAGTGTGTGTTTACGCATGGCTCATCTACTTCCCACCCCAGACACCAGCCCTGTGGGTGGGAACCGCCCACCTGCCCCAGGTAGGAAAGGGGCTGTTTTAAATGACTGGTATTCGCCTCATCAAAACCAAAGGAATAATTTGGTCTCATGTTACAGATAAAGTCAACAGGCCCTGCAGTGCACTCATAAGCTGTTGAAAGAAAAAATGTCTAAGGGGCTGGACGTAAGAAACTTTTCTAAGATCCTTCAAATTAAGGGAAGCAGTCGTACAGAGACTCAAACAGAACATCCTATGACTGTAAGTTAAATTCAAGTTACAAATCATCTCCTTCCCATATTTATATGAATGTAATCCTGAGACCAGACAGACTTTTTGGGAACAAAAGACATGAGGATACATCAAAGAAAAAAGCCAGGGGAAATCCTGTATTCACTTTCCCTGCCACCCCTCTGTGGGAGGCTTACCCTAGACATTCCCTCTAAAGGATGAACTCAGTATCCTGACTTTTCAGACCTGGGCATGTCACTGACAGGACATACTAGTGTCCCTTGAGAGCCAAGCCCAGCTCCACACAGGTTATAATCTGCCCTCCAATGCTGCAAACAGTACTAACCACCATCATGAATGGCAGTAATGGGCCAGTTGTGGTCTAAAGAAAAATCAACGCTCAAGATTCTAGAGCCTCCCTGCCCAACCACATACTCACTCCCGAAGTCCCTCAACCAGATCTCCTCAGGCCACACCAAAATCAAGAGAAATCGAACAAACATCTACAACACTGATGCATTTTAATGAAGAGATGGGAGAAGGGAAGAAGGGAAAAAAGAAGAGAAAAAAAAGCAAAGGGGATGGATAGAGGAGGGAGAGGGAGGGGAGAAGAAGACCACAGTACATGAAGAGCTGTAACAGAAGAGAAGAGAAAAAGGAAAGAGGAGAAATGGGAGACAAGGAGAAAACCAAAAGGAAAGGAGGCCCCTGCTCTAGAAAGAGAATGAACAGGTACCCGGTCACTGGCCCCCGGGGTCAGCACCAGTCTGCACAGCTCAGATGGCATGGGGATAGCTGTTCCTCACCTGGAGAAAAAAATACACCTTCACACAAGAAAATTACAGTATTCGTATCATGCGGTAGTCTGCATGCTGTGTGTGATACGTGTACCAGGTGTCAGCGGAAATGTGGATGAACAGGTCTCAAGCAGAAGATGCTAACAGCACAGCTCCTATCATTTACCCACAGAAACAGAAACCCTCGTCCTTCCAAAATTTTCCATGACAGAGAAAGAAAACAGAATCCCACCACTGGAACACACAGGTTTCACCTTGCTTTTTTAATCTAGTCCTTGGTATATGCATTTCTGGTCAGAGAGCAAAGTTCTGATGGGTTTAATGGTGCACTCAATGCAGTGCTTGGCGCATTCCATCAATTTTTTTAAAAAAAATTGCATCTCTTATTTCTTTAAATACATTAATCAGCCTAGTGTAGGCAAAACGGATCCATCGGACAATGCAATAAACATGAATTATCATCTATCCAACACGCATAATGGCTTAAAAATACATAATAGCAGGTGTAGTTTAAATGATTAGTTATTACACCTGTGGTGGGTCTGATTCAATTGGGAAAAATCATCTTTAATAGGTTAAAAGGTTTAGATCACCATGCTTTCCTTAAAGTGGCTGCAGAGAGGGAATGATGGAGTGCTCTGTCATTAGTAATTCATTTAAGAAGAACGTGGGGGATATAGCAAAGAACAGCATAAACGAGTGAATCCAATTTAAACATCAGGTAAAGTAGAAAACACCTTTTAAAAAAGCAAGATAAATGAATTTGGAAGGGAGATGAAATTGACGTATTTATTTTAACGGGAATTTGACAAAGTCCCGGCACACTTCAAACTTGCAAAAATATGAACAATTTCTTTTAAAGTTTCCATGCACTAATTTCAAGTCATATAAAATAATACTGCCAAACGCCTACATAAAGTATATTTGGGGCTTGTTTATGTTCCTCTTGATCTTTGTCTGAAAATGCAGGCGACAGGCAAATCACATATTTAACAGCATCGACATCACTACACTAGATGCAAAAATATAAAGCACCCAAATAGCCCCGGCCTAATGTGCTGAATAAGAAAGCTGCCCTGGTAAGCGGCTACATGTAAGTGTGAACCTCTCTCCTCCTTTCACTAATCATTTCTTCAGTTACTCTTTACTCTTCTCCTCCCTCCCCACAAGAAACTGGCACTTCAAAATGGGGGGAAGGACCTGTCCAATTTTATAGCCCCATGATTCATACATCGATGGAAGAAGATTTTGAAACTCTTCACCCATAATGCTAACATCTTCACACACGAAATAACTGACAGGGCGCTCGGTTTGTGCCTTTCACCCACCTATTGTTGGGCACTTTTCATTAACTTCACGAAGCAATTCAACTGACTTTCCTCTGCAGAGGCCCAACACACACAACACGCTTTTGTTGGATTCAATGATGGGGTGCCTGCAGCCTGTCCTGTATTATCGTTTGATTTTCTAATTAGAAGATGAATGTGACTATTCATGGGTTATATTTGTGCCCAACTAAATTACATAAATTCAGGCCAAATCTTCCGCCTCAATGTCAAAGATGTAAAACGGAGACAGGAACTTTATTGCACATGTTGTGGGAGTGCAGCAAGCCAGGGAGAATTCTGGCGCTAAGCTCCCGATGCCGCTGTCGAAGCCACTTGCTGGTGAGCCTGTGATAAATATGGAATCAGCGTTCCTTTCCCTTCCTCTTGCACTGAGTTCTTAATGAGTGCACCTCGAATTACCAATAGCTAGTTTAATAAAAATAAGGACAGACTCTGAAGAAAACAGACCAAAGTTTCTCTCCCTGACCCCCTTCTGTCCTCTTCTCCACCCAAAACAAACTAAAACAACCCTGCCACCACGAACTCCACAATTTTAGGGAAATTTCATAATTTTCACTATGTGTCACTTAAAGTTAGAGGTAAAACTGAGGTGTGAGGAAGAGGAGTAAATTCTGGTCTTTACCGTCTCATAACAATGGTTACACTGGAGTCACCGCCAGCAACTTGGAAAAAAGGTGGGGAGGGGGACTTCGGGTTGAAAACCACTTTTGGATCCAAGATGACTGGCCAATTGAGAGAGATTTGTATTTGAGAGAGCAGGATTTGTAACCGTATAAATCAATGGAATACAGTATACTCAGGGGTTATCTACTATGAACTATGTGCTGTTAAATGCATTGTGTAGGGTAAGTAATCCCTGGTGAGAAGAATCGAGGTTCCTGACAGTCCTCACCGAAGAGATGCTTCCTCTGTGTTTTCCACTCTCCCACAAAAGACCTGCACATTGTAATCTCCAGAATGCACACTTTATTTTCTGCACAAGGGGGGAAGAGGAGAACAGAGCCTGCCTAATAATGAACCCGGGGTTTGAGGGAGCCTTAGCACTTTGCACCTGACATGTAAACCTGATGCATTGTCTCCGGTGACACTTATTTGGAATGCCACCAATTCCAGCACTCCTGTGTACTATATACACATCTATCTCCTAAAATGTGAGCATTCATTAGCCATTTTAAAATATTAAAAATATTCAAAAATTAATGACACAACCAAAGCCAAGTCCTTTTTAACCCAGAGAGATCACGACTAGAGGGCAAAAGCAAATGACCAATATAATCTACGGGCTGAAACCCCATTCCAGCGCCGCACTGCTCCACGTGCGCCGCTCAGAAGATTAAATTGCCTGTGAAAGGTTCCTACGTTCATACTCTAAACTAGATATCCAGAATCCTGTTAACAAGCGTTAGACCAAAGCCAACTCGAGCTTTAACAAGGACTGACTTAAAAAGCCAGGCACTGCCAAGAATGAGAACCCTCTTCAAACAGAAATGCTGCATTTTAGTAAGAAATCAGTACTCTGTCAGGAGTTCCTTGACAAATATGGTCATCGGCGGCACAAGGAAATAGTTGCAAAGCAGCTGTTAATCAGAGAAACACATCGTAGAACGCTGATGCTAGCACTCGTGAAAAAATGCAACGG